CCATGGTAATGATGACCATGGAGATTTACTGGGTGACAAAAGATCAAATAAATGGCATCCATATGATCCAGGCCAGGGCGGAGGACGTAGCAATGAAAGCTTCCCCAAGGGAGTAACATCAAAACTGAGGTCCAGAGGTGAGCAGCATGAGCAGAGGGAGGCACAGTGAGGAGTGAGAAGATGCCCCGGGCAGTAAGCAGGGGTGTGTAGGGGCCCAGAGACAGGGCATGTATTTAGGGGAACCACAAAAAGTGCTGACAGGTGAGGCTGGGAGAACAGCCTAAATCTGAGCAGAAAGCTTTATAGTCACAGTGTCCCACTACTCTGTAACTAGAGAAGTGTGACCAGACACACAGTTCATCTGCAAAGCCACGTGCGGTGGATCAACTAATGTTCAACTTGGAAACACCCAGCTGACCTGAGTCAATGTGGTTCTGGGCATGGAAGACCCACCTGAGGGTTGTTGCCAGCAGCACTAAAAGAGACCTGGAGGGGAAGATCATTTGCTATTGATTTTCTTGGAGAAGCTTGCCGCAACTGGTTTTCCTGATGTGGACTTGGCTGTTCTCACAGGAGGAGCTGGGACCTCACTGTCCCTGGGAACAGCCACTGTTCTCATTGGGAGACCTCTGATCTTCGTCTTCAGCATCCCTTCCTGGCTTCAGCCTGGTGGCACAAATTCTTCACCCTACCTGAGTAGGCTTTCTAGTTTTCACCACTGGCCTTTGGGCCTTCCCAGTGCAGATGTTCAATATGGACTTGCATGAGACATTACCATGGGCTCTAGGCCTCTGGCTGGACTCATGGAAGACACTGCCATAGGCTCTGGGCCTTCAGCTGGACTTGTGCGGGACATTGCCTTCGGATCCAAGCCCTCCACTGGATCCCTTGGATCTCTAGTGTGTGGACAGATCTCTTGTACTCCTCTGCATTTGACTTTTTGGGTGAATATTATAAAATAATCCTATAAATTATGTGTCCTGTATTAAATCTATTCCTTTGAAAACTCTGACTACAACACCATGTGATCAACCCAGGGGAAGCCCACCCCTGCCTTGGAGGCTATGCCAGCACTGGGAGGTGGAACTCAAGTTGTCATGTGGTCCAGCAGATTTGCCAGGACCTGCTGGGTGCTGGCTGTAGGCAATGAAGTTACTCGGAGAAGCGAAAGACTACTGCCAAAATTGAAAGAGAAAAGGTAGGGGCAAAAGCAAAGCCCAGCAATCCAGGGAGCACCCAAGTAGATGGAAATGAAAAGGGAGACAGATCAGGGTGAAAGAGAAGCTACAGGGTTCTTCAAGACAAATGTCCACAGAGGACCGGAATCTCAGCAGCGTGCCTGTCTGGGTCCAATCACAGGTGTGTAGCCAGGTATTCTATAAGCCCAAGACTCTGACAGGCTGAGGCAGGAGGATCACAAATTGGAGCTCACCCTGGGCAACTTAATGACTTAACAAGACCCTATCTCAAAATGAAAAATAAAAAGAAGCAGGGGATATAGCTCAGTGCTAAGCCCCTGGGTTCAATCCACACCCATAAAAACAAAAATTGGTGTGCAGGTAGAGCAGTCTGACTTGATAGCCAAGGGTATGGATGGTTAAGCATGAAACCCTGGGGACTGAGAGATAGTCGGTATGGGGTTAGAGAGAGACCCCTCCATGGAGCCACAATGATTACTGCATCAGCATCCCAGGGAGCTTAGGGGAGAGGTGCTGGGGAAGACAGCTGTTAGCAGTAGCGGATGTGAAGACAGAAAATATTTACGAGAAACACCATACCTCCATCTCAATCATGAATGGGTCATGCTCAAAACAGCACTTGAAACGTAGGAAATACTTCGTGTTAGTACTTAATTTGGTTTTACTTATTCATTTATTCAGTGTATTGAAATCTGATCCTCGTCTCCATATTGGTTGCTCAAAACATAAAGTTGACTAAGGTTTGATCCCTACAGTCAAAGAGCTTGGCACCTACTGAGAAAGGCAGGCAAGGAAAGGGATGAGAATAGAGGAAAGCTACAGTGCCCAACAGAGGGAGAAGCCAGTGACGCTGTGTAAGCCCCATGAGACTGCGAGAGAGAAAATAGGGCAGAGACAAATATAGATGGTAAGGGCAGAATAATACATCCTGATCTCTCACAATCCTAGGATGGCCCAGGGGAGAGAGAAGAAACAGAAGAACAAGAACAAGATCCATGAAAAGAGAAGCTGAGCATTGCAGCTTACAGACCCATTGGCTGCCTATTAGAGAAGACCATGTTCTCCTCCATTATGAAATTTTTTAAAATGCTATGTTCTGCACTTTTGTGGCTTGGAACAAATATGCATTATAAAGACTTACCAAAAAGTTTTGACCAAGTCTCCTTTCCTTCCTAATATTGAAGCTTCTGGTCTTTTATTGTTCCCAGTCGATTTATAGATGCAATAAAAATAAATATGAGATGCAATGGATCTGTCCTATGTGAAAAAGAAGGCATCAGCGGGTTTCAAATGCATTCAAGGTTTTTATTTCCACTTGAAGTTTGGTGTTTTGAAAATTAAATGTTTTAAAGGTTAGAACAACTATAATTCCTAATGGCTACTGAAACATATAAAGCAGAAATGAAAGGTCTTTGCCAACAAAGTGAAGTGAGAATGGAAGAAATGAGGAAAAACTCAAGGCCCCCTAATCTCAAATTTTCTTTAGCTTTCTGCCTATTTTTGGTAAGTGACAGTTTGGCCCAAATCCCATCTTTAGGAATATTTTCATCTGCTCCCAGGAAGACACCAAGAAACAAATATATATATACGTGTTGCTCTGAATAAAAGACATCATAACATTGTTGCATCAAACTATTGCTGCTTTTCTACTGACTTGCTTCAAGCAGTAAACACTTGCTGTACATCTACGTTCATATCCAACTTTTCACTTAATGCTATGCTGTAAGCGCTTTTGAGAGATGTTATCATGCACCATCCCCACATGTCTGATATCTGTACCACATTTCTCAGAGGGACAATTCAGCCTGGATTTTTGGATGAAGAACTGAGAATTGCACCTGGCAGAAATAGGCATAGCAAGAAAAAAGTCACATTTTAAGCTTTATCCTAAAGAAGAGGACGTCTTGAAACCTTGAAGGTAGTGACTCTTCACAGGCTACAGGGTGGGCTGAACCAGACAAGGCCCAAAGAGAAGCCATCTAGGAGGCAGCTTGGCTTGAAAATGAAAGCAATTAAAAGAACCATACCACAGTGATATATGTGCACCCATGTTCATAGCAGCACAGTTTGTAATAGCTAAAACTTGGAAGCAGCCCAAGTGCCCATCAACTGGAAACTAGATAAAGAAAATGTGGGGTTTTTTTATAAAATGGAGTACTACTCAGCCATAAAAAATGAGATATTAGAGACATTTATAGCTAAGTGGATGCACATTGAGGCGATACTCTTAAGTGAAATAAATAGGACACACATGTGTAAATACTGAATAGTTTCTCTGGTGTGAGAAAGTGAAAGTGTAAATAAGGACTAAAAGGTATAATAGGTAATGTGAAATAGGAAGAAAAGGGGCAAAGGGAAGGAAGTGGGAGGGCTAGGGGAAAGGATAGAAGGGAATGGGATTAATATGAGAAAATGGAAAAATAGGAACAAAATCTTTGTAAATAGGGAGGAATGGAGGGGTTGAAGGGAGGGCAAGGGAAGGGTGAAAAATAAGAACCAAGAGAGATTATGTCAAGGTGCAAATTTCCAATGATGAATGTCATTATATTGTATACCTAAAATGTACCAATGATTAGAATGAATAATCGATAATGAAAAAAAAAAAAAGAAAAGAAAAGAAAAATACCTAGGTCTGTATCTCCTGCGAGGCAGCTGGAGTCAGAACCTCTGAGACCACCTCCCGCTGCTTGCCCTCTGTGCCCAATCTGACAGACAAGCAAGACTGGTTTTACACCCACAGCTCCTGTAATGGAGAAGCCAGGGACCACCCCAACTTCTCTGCCCTAATAAGGAAGAGCACCCTGCTTCCAAAATGAGGCAAAAGTTCACCACTAACTGACTAGGAAAGGGGTCAGCAAAGTTTTCTGTAAAGGATTAGAGAGTGACTATGTTGGAATTTGTGTGTCACTTACCATTTCTGTCACATACTTCTTATTACTTGATTTTTTTTGTTTGTTGTTTTTAATGATCATTTAAACATTTACAAAAAAATATAAAACTTAGTTCCAGCCACAGAACAGTGTGTGGACCCCAGACAAAGACTTCATTCTCTTTGCATTAAAAATAAAGTAAACTCAATTGAGATTCTGCAAACTGTCCCAGAACTTCTGAGAGATTCATGTGGAGCCCACTCCATTCTGACATCCTGAGTTCAGCATTCTAGGATGACACTTCTAGTTGCCACAGTAGCCAGTGGGGTGTCCCAGAGCTCCACCTCCTATGTTCTCCCATCTTACAAATCTTACCATGTGTAAGAGGACATCTGTCCACAATCAGAAAAGGCTAACTACTGCATTCAACAAATGGTGTGTAGTGCTGACGAACCTTACAGGGAAAACTACAGAAGGATCTATGGTTTTATTTGTTTTCATTCTTACCAGAAACATTTTACCAGATACATTCCTTTGACTTGGAAAACTTTTGAGATGAGATGAATTGAGACTTTTACCCAATAGCTAATGAGAATAAGAGATATACAGACAGACAATGGTCATGTCACAAATAAGAACCAAAGTTGGACCAACAGGCTGCAGCAGCCAGCCCAAGAAACCACTATCCATAACTGGATAGTCCCAGAAGCCAGCCTCTGTCCAGAATCAGATTTAAAGGACATCTGGCTAACAAACAGCACGGTAACTGGTAATCCCTAGTCATTAGTCCAAAAAGCCACACAAGTACCTGTGAAACAATTGACCCAACATGGTCCAGGACCTGATTGAAAATCTCAAATTCCCTAAATTTGTCCCTATTTCCCACTCAAGAACAATCAGAGGGAACAAAACGTGCACCCTGGCCGATCACCTTGGGTTCCCTGTTTCGAGTTGGATTATCCTCACTTTCCCCAGGCCGGTCAGGGCACAGCTGCAGCCTCCTTTCTTGATTCCTCTGCTGGGCTTGGTCTCACACGTGAAGGTGGTCAACAACCCTGTTTGAACAAGCTTAGAATAATTAACATTTGCTTGATTATATTTGGTTAGTTTTCCCTTATTTCCACAAATTTGTACCTCCCTCCTCCATTTTGCTCATTTATATTGTAGAACTTTAATAGGCCCTAATGTCACTATTTCAGGATTACACAGAATTTAAAAAGAGACAATCATTCAAAGATTTGTAGTTATCATACTAAAATTATAAGTAAGATAAGTGAAGCATGGAAATTTTTGATCTCATATTTCCTCTGTAACATTCTCTGTCTGCCTGGAGGTGGAGTCATTGCATATTAGGCTGAGACAGAGGGAGGGGAGAAGGAAGGAAGGGAAAGTGGCTGTAAAAGGAACTAAGATGTGTTACATTCAGTTACCAACTCCCCACCGTGAATGCGATTATTATGGGCTGCAAACATGTACTAATAAAAATAATTTTTAAAAAAATACACAGAAGTCGATGAACTGGGTGAGTGACCTTTGTGTGTATACCACTATGGTGCTTATAAAGACACTTGAAACTTGAAAATCAATCAAAGAAACTCCTCATACATGCAGAAATTTAGGGAATTTTCTAAGACGCTATTTCCAGAGTGTGTTGCAAAGAATGTTAATACTTGCTATGTGAAAAAAGAAATTTTATACCACTGTATTTACAAGATTCTATATGCAACTGTGTTAAGCAAGATTTTTCTTGAGCACTTAATTTGCAAAGAGGGAGAAATCTTAAAGGTATTTCTAAACATAATTGATTCTGGAGCTCATTCTGAGCAGGGCACCTTTGGGCTCTAGAATATGGAGAACATACTTCGAAAAATGCTACTGTAGGAGATTGTTTAAGACATTTGAACATTTTTCCCCACTGAAAAGAAGTAACTAACATAAAAGAAAATACCATTTCCTTAGTAGCATCTATACTTTATTAAGGGCTTTCCATGTTCCATTGTGCTACATTATATTATCTTATTTCATTTTCACAATAACCCCAGGAATTGGACCCTATTATTATATCTATTTCATAAATGATGAAGAATAGAGGAGAGGTTGAATAACTTCCCCATGAATTGCCTTCAGGAAGAACTCACTAACTATCCTGCCTGGTACACTGGCCTCAGGGGATGTGGCTCACTGTGGCCCAAGGAAGGACAAACGTGTTTCCTTTACAAAGGTCATCTCTGCCTGTGCATCTGAGGAGGATGGAGTGCCCCTCCGCAAAGACTTTACCAAAGGCGAGTGTCCATCAGGGAGACTCACATAAGATCCCTGACTCTAAGTTCTCAGGCTTGTTAGATGCTGAGAGCATAATTTTGTGGTCTGTTATGGGCTAAATTGTGCACTCCCTAAACTCATACAATGAAAGCTTAACACCCAGTGTGAGTGTATCTAAAGACAGTGTTTTTGGAATGAAATTAAATCCATAAAGCCGTAAGGGTGGGACCTTAACTTGACAGGCCTGAGAGTTTAACAGGAAGAGAAGGGTGTTCTTTCTCTTTCTGCCATGTGAAGAAATAACAAGAAACAGACCATCTGAAAGCCAGGAAAAGTGCCTTCCCTAGGAAACAAATCAGAGGGAACCTTGATTTTTCTACTCCAGGCCCCCAAAACTGGGAGAATATATATTTCTGTTGTTTGAGTCACCTGGTCTAGCTGGTTTTGTTGTGGTATCTGAGCTAAGACATAATTCTAACCTCCAGTATCTCAGAAGGTGATAATATTTGGAAATAGAGCCTTCAAAGGAGTGATTCAATTAAAATGATACTGTCGGGGTGAGTCCTAGTCCAGTATGACTGGTGTCCTTACAGGAGGACATTGGGGCATACAGAAGAAAGCCAAGGGTGTGCACAATCGAGCGACAGTGATGCGAAGAGGCAGAAAGAGGGTGGCCATGCAAGAGGCTTCGGGGGAAGCCAGTCCCACCAGCCCTTGGTCTTGAACTTCTGGCCTCCAAACTGTGAGAAAATACATTTCTGTTGCTTACATCCCACAGCCTACGGTATTTTATTATGGCAGCACTAGCAAAACCAGTTCAGGGTCAGACTCACCAGATTAGAATCTCAACACCTTCCTTACTAGGAAAGTGACTTCCAAAAGTCACTTAACTCCTCTGAGCCATAACTTTCTCGTCTGCAAGACTGAGATGGCAGTGGCACCTACTAACCTTTTAGAGTGAACTAGGAGTTGATGGGATCACGCATTGCCCTTGTGCGTGGCATGTTGAGAGTGCCTAATCAGTGTGAGCCATCATTCCTGCTGTGATTCATACACTCCCAGTGACAGCCTACCTATAACTCCCACTGCTGAAGAGTGATTTCATCAGTACCTAGATCCTTCAAGAGCAGGTCAGGAAGAGAAGAGCAAGCTCATTGTCCACTAAGCCCCTTTCTTAGCTCCTGACTAAGGATCCACCTGCCCACAGAGATGACATTAGAACTATCAGTATGCACACACCATCAAGGCATGCTTCCCTTGACTGTATAGCCCATATGCGTTAGCATATCTCTATATGGCCACACTGAGAGAAGACGCAGTTGAAGGTGTTTGGTTTCATCTTTCAGCTAATAAAAAACTGGTTTTAATTATTAAAGTGGATCCTCAACAAGCAGCCACTTAACATTTTTAGAATATGTATCTGTACCATATAACCAGTTATGGCCATTTCTGTCTGGGATGCTAGCTCAACCTGTCACCTGGTAGTTGTAAAAGGGCAAATGAAGAGGTTCCTGTTGAATCATTCCCACATTACTATGTTTCCGTGGCTTGCTCCAGCCATAGAACTGTTTTGGATTCTTCCATCTCACAATTGAAAGAAAAAATGGACCAAAAATGATGTTACAGCTTAGTCACATACAAGAGGTAACTGTACTGACCAGTTTTTTGGGACATCTAATAGATGTTAAAACCTCTAAAACTGCCCACCTCTTCTCAAGGCCCTAGAACTCTAGCGTGATTAGTTCTGAAGGGTCTTTCAGAGTGGCTTAACATCGCATTTTATGGAGTGGAGTTCAATTATATGGTGACTGTGTTTATGGAAGGCTGAAATACTAATAAAATAATTTTTGTCTCAATCATGGTAGCTAACATTTCTTCAGTTCATATTATTTGCTAAACAAGGTTTTTCATTCATACAATGAATATTTATTGAATATCAATTATGTGCTAAACAACAAAACAGGCCAAATGCTTTGTTTGCATGGTGTTCACCTTCCAGTCAGGGAGCCAGACTAGAATAACTAAATTATAAGTCATAGCATGATAAAGATTAAAGCAGAATAAATCATGGAGGGGAGGGTTATGGAGGTACAGCTCAAAAGAATTAGCCAGGAAGTACTTGCTTAAAGGTTGACATTGAACAAAAGTTGGAGGAAGAAGGCAAAGGTATTTACTGGTATCAACTGTCTCATTTGATCTACTGTACAACTAGAGATTTTGCTTATTCGCATTTATGTCTGTGTATACATACTCATATCTGTCTTTATCTGTGTCTACCTTTCTGAAGAGATTTATGAGAGATCGGCTCATATGATTATACGGGCTGGCAATTTCCAAGACCTCTAAATCCAGTAGGATGAGTCACCCAGCTGGAGATCCAGGACAGCCAATAACTATTCCAAGTTCCAAATGCTGGAAGGTTTAAGACTCGGGAAGAGCCAATGTTGCAGTCTGAAGGTGAGAAAAATTCTTTCTTATTTGGAGGAATGCCAGCCATTTTTGATCTTCAACGGATTGGCTAAGGCCCACTTAACATTAAGGAGGTCAGTCTACATGACTCAGGCTACTGACTCAGATGTTAATCTTACCCAAAAATACTGTCATGGAAACACCAGGAATGGTGTAATATCTGGACACTCTTAGGCCTTGTCAAGTTGATAAGTAAAATTAAGCATCACAAGGGTAAACGCTATGCAGTGGTTAGGAGTTTAGATATACAATAGAATGGCATGGCAGGTATGGTATACTATGGTGTGGTGTAGAATAGCATGGTATAGGATAGAGTAGAATGAGATGATATTGCCAGAGGGACCACAGTTAAAATCCTGACTTCATCCTTTTTCAGCTTAGGTGATTTAAAGCATATGATTATACTGTTTGAAGTTACGTTCCCTTATCTGTAAGTTGGGAATGGCCATGCCTGCCCCTTGAGGTTACTGGGAGACTTAAAAGAGCTTTCTGGAAAAGAGCTGAAGGTGATGTCCAGGCCACAACAAACAATCAGCTGGTCAAGAAACACATCCTCACCAGGTAAGTGGATCTGCACTAGGCACTTCCTCACACACTCTCATTGCATGTGGGCTTCTTTAGGGCTCCTCGCTGAAATATATTCATCCTGAACCAGGATAAACAGCAGTGTTTCTGGGACCCTGGATCCTGGATTCGGGGTTTTTTCAGGTTTCTTTTTACTCTTTGGGAGTCAGGACACATTGCATTCCAGGCAGATTGGTGGCATAGGGGAATAAACCTGGATCCTCCATGTAGGAAGAAGTCCTTCAAGGGCTTAGGAAACTGTGGGCCTCAGAAATGGGGCCCAGTCTTAAATTTCTGATCAAAATACACTGAAAGCTTTACTAGGATCTCCACACACAGGCCCTGAGTCAAGCCCTCTCAGCCCTGCTTTTGACCTAGTAAAATGGCTCCAGGCTGCACAGAAATGAGCCATGCAACTCTCCTCACTGTCCTCTCCAAAAACAGCAGCTGTGTCCCTGGGTCCTTCCTCCTCCTCCAGCGGGACAGGGACAAAGTGCATTCTTCTCACCTGGGCTTTCTCTCCCAGGGGTTGCTGCTCTTCCCCTTTGGCCACAGACCAGGTGTCGTGGCTCAGCCACTCTACTGTCCAACCTTCCAGGGCCTCAGTTCTTCCGTTTATACTACAGGACTGATAATACATGACTCCCAAGGCTTTATTTATAAATGGGGTTTATTGGCTTCTTACGTGTCCTAGAAACACCAATGATCTCAACAGCTCTAAGGAGAGACAGCTTCATGGCCAGGCCCTGAGCTCAACAAA